GCAGCTAGTCGCTCGTCAGGTGCCTCTCTAGGACGCCAATCACGAATAGTCGTTGCGAAATTAAGAATCAATTCCACTGTAAGATGCCTATAGCCTATTAGTAATAAAATCAAATATAAGTATACGATATATATATCAACCAGTATCAACATCATCGAATGATATCCTTAAAAAGTTTGCCGACAAAAAGTTCCTATCACGAAAATACGATGATCTAAACAGCTCCTAATGTATTATAAACTAGCTTGAACTATGAAAGATTATTAAGCATTTAATATTCAATCCAGCGACAGCCGCTACCTTATTTGAATCAACTTTATTTATTTGTTTAGGATCATAATCGCTAATAACGTCGTTGTGGTACTCCTAAACGCTTTCGAAATACCAATCACTCGTCAGTTGCTGGTCACTTGTTTTTACTTTTTCAAAAAGATGACAAAATGTTTTTGAAAAACTACACTTAAAATCGAATGACTCCGCATCAAAAACTTTTCTATCCCTAAAAATGGTAGAAAGCGAAATTTCAAAAATCTGATCTCCGATTCGACTCACTCGAGCCCGACAGCATCTGATCAAACTTTACAAGGAGAACTATTTTCTCGAAAAAAGACTTTTTTTTCACTAAAAAAGTTGAGGATCATAAATTCTGAAAACCTCATGCCAGATTAGAGTTTCCCGACCCCGATTATCTTCGGTGAAACCTATCTCTACAGATTTTGCTTGAGTTTAGTTAAGTTTACGCATCTGCTGTCCTATTGAATGAACGAACGAACGCATTCAGCTCACTTTTCGTAAGACTCTCCTTTCAGTAGATGGAATAGCAGGTTATTATTGAAACTCTTGTCAATAGTAATGATAATTTTCTATTAAAGGGGATTCACGTTCAATACGAACCAAAACGATTAATAGAAATAACTTCTTTAGGTTCGATCTTTCTAGGTATGCCTTTAATCCATAGAGAAATTACATATGAAATGAAAGAGGTGTTTGGATACTTTTGTCGTTATGCTTTCATTGTTATGAATTACAACAAATAGTGATCAGAAATAACTTCGGAGACTTTAGCATTGCAACGTATTAGAGAAAAGTCAAAGCAAGAAAACTTCAGTACAACATAATTAATAAAGAAGTATGAATATCCTATGAGAAAACTGCCTAGTATTCTATATGGATTATATAAGATCAAAATAAACTATAAGTGTGTACGTAGATGAGTACGTTTGATAAAAACAGATCTTCGAATACTCTCGAGTAATATTATTATAAAAGTTAGTTTTCAATAAATATAATTAGTTTGAGTACGTTAATCCATTTTTATTGTTCTATTTTCGGTCTATAAGTATTTATTATACCGTAGCTAATAATTTGCAACTAAATTCTATTGTCTTTAGGCATATTTTTCTGGTGACGTTCACAACATCAATAGCGCACATTGTTTTATAAAACAGATGCTTTATCTTTTGCCAATATATACATATACGTATATCTTTTCTATTGGAAACTGTAAAAAAAATTAATTTATAAGCGCACAAAATGTGTATTCTCTTTAATTTCCATTGTATTGTTTCATGGTACTGATGACAAATTTAAGGGCGCCATCTAATTATTCGTGTGCTCGATTTATGAAAAAGATGATAAATATATATCGAATAATAGTTCGGTTTCTAAATGAATTTAGCATCTGCAATGAGGTATAAATCTTGAGGGTATGGGTGTGCAGCTGTATATACCAATGCTCCATTGACTCACATTCCGCACCCACGCTCACATGAATGCTGACAATCCATCGATAGTTTTCAAACAAGTGTACTATCCATCTGTTCTCACGTCCAATACTCAGCGCATCAGAGTTTAAATAAATACAATAGACATTATTCTTAGACGGCACGTGCATAGTTATTAAAAATTAGTTTCTGTGAAATTCAGCATGAAATTTAATTATAATAAAAAACAATTATCTAAACTCTATCAATGTCTGATACTTATAAATTTAATACTGTTAAGATTTTCCATATATGTTTTTAGAAAAATGAGTAGAATGAGTAACTTCGGAGATGCTAAAGTTCCATCATTGGATTAATATGAGTCCAATCAAGACGATATATTTAGAAGAATAGATAGAACACATAGTGACTTCTAGTTGTATATTAATAATTTTTATGAAGCGAACGCAAAATAATGTACTTGACATATAATTTAATTTAATATATCTAATTTTTGCAATGAAAACTTCTTATCCATTAATGAAAACTCTACATAGAAAAGTATCCATTAAAATGGCTAATTCAGCATACGAAATTTCTATTAGTATCCGAAATGATGAAAGGCCATGTTCCTCATTTGTTCAACGTACTTAGCCAACTGAAGTGTTCCATCGTGTATCATATGTCATGTAGAATATACTAAATTTAAAAAGGGCCCAAAAGCTGCTAAGAAAAAGAAGAAAACATTTGCACTACATCATCCTTCATACAACTACTTGAAAAAGAAATAAAGTAAAAGTTCCAATAGATTATACTATCTGTCAATCCAATGATCAGTATTTCATAAACACATCTTACAATACACGATACTTCTTTATTTATATATTGAATTTAAATAGGAAGAAAAAAAAGAAACTTGACAGTAAGATATTTAAGCACCACCGAAAAATAGTCTTTTGTATCTCATTAACTTTAACTAGTCGTATTTGTATTTGATACAAGATCGTATTTAACAGGATCGGATAATGTTGATACGGAGTTATTCTCTGTTTGTACTCGATGAGAATTATTGATATTTGATTTTGATTTTAATTGTAATGGTTTGTTTGTCTTTCGTTGTTGTTGCACAGTAAAACATACTGACGGTTTACCTGTAGCAGTTGTTTCATTACCATTTTGATTTGTTAAATGATTTGATATAATAGTTGAACATGTTAAAAATTGTTGAAATGCTTTGCGAAATGGTTCAGATAAAAATGCATACAATATTGGATTAACACATGATGATATATAAACAAGACTTTGAGAAATAATAGCAAATGATATTGTTACTTGATTATGATGCGTATATAATAGATAGATTTGCATTGGTGTCCAACATATAACAAATGAAGATATCACAGCTGATACCATTTTAGTTACACGTTTTTTACCTTTTGCTACTTGTTTACCTTTAGCATTTTTACGTAAAACATTTATAATAAGACCATAGAGAATAACAATGATAATTAATGGAATAATTAAACCAAATAAAGCAAAAATATATGCTGTTACACGTCGAGCTGTATTGATAAAAGTACTATCAGCACGAAATAAACAAACCCAAACACCAGAATTCGCATCATCAAGAAAAACATCATAATAGACCCTGTTGAAGAGAGAGAAAAAAAAGTACGTTCAAATCAGTTCAATTTTCTTTTTGTATTCAAAATAAAATCGATCGGATGAAATATATATCTGAATAAGATTTTTGAAAAAAAAAAGAAGAAGAAGATACTTACATGTTAGGTGAAGCAAAAATAATACTTATTAACCAAACAATAATAACGGCTAAATGTGCATTACGTTCCGTACGATATTTAACTGATTTAACAGCAAATACAACACCAAGAAATCGATCGATTGACATTACTACAAGTATATAAATACTAACATATGCACTTAAATACATTAATGTATTGGCTAGTTTGCACAAAAGTTTTGGGAAATTATATGAATGAGCAACATAAACATAGATTGTATGTGGTATGCACATGAGCACAAATGATAGATTTGCAATGGCTAAATGTAATATAAGCGCATTGGTAGTATTACGCATTTGTTTAACTGTAACTACAGTTAATATAACTAAAATATTTCCGATTGTGCCAATAACAAAAACAAGTGAATAAAGTGGAATAATAAGATAAAGAAGATTATCAGGTGCCGCATCAATAGATGATAGTTTTTCTTGGGAATCTGAAGTATAATTTGATAATGTTGAATTAAACGATGTTGTGTCGTTATTAGGCATTATATTGAAATTGTTAAGAAGAAAATCAAGTGAATAATAACGCCAATTAATAGCTGGAGAAGGCTGTGAATTTTGTTCGATATCAGTTGCCGATACACCAGTCAAAACACGTGATAAATGATGAGATGATCCAGGGGGATTGACTAATGAATAATCGATCTCGCCAAACATTCTCACGTTGAAAGAAGAGATGAATCGATTCTTGACAGAAAAAGAAGAAATATTCATTTAGTATCTACTTTTAGAAATTTCTTGGCGTTGCTTTGGCTGTCAAAATTAATTTTTCTTCAAATATACTCGATCAATCGAATGATTTTTCTTCATTAGGAATTATTTTGATTTTTACAAACAGTAAATATGAATGTACTCAGTTGAATTTTTGTATCCATTTCATAGGTTACGAAAAAGTATTAGTTTTATACAATTTATTTTGGCATACGAAAATTCAATTCAGTTGGTCTTTGTTTTTTTTTGGATCTATCATTTTTTTTAGTCAATAGAGAGAAATATTTTTCGTTCCTTTCTTTTTTATTCTTGTACAAAAATCAATACAGATCTTTCTTATTTATTTTTCTGTTCATAGAGCAACGACGAATTGCTTTGTTATATGCCGTCTTGGCATCGACATTTACAAGTGTAGCCAAATAGTACTCTATTGTTTATTAACTATATGAATATATATATATATATATATATGCTAGTATAGATTTCTTTTCCTATGAAACCCTTTATTAGACATAATATAGTCTATGTGACTAGTCTTTTTTTCTTCTCCTCGTCTTTTTTTCTTTTTCCGACAGACGAAAGAGGCGTGAGCCGGAAAGTGGCTTGTCCTATAATACCAATCAGCCCTAATAGATTGAAACTGACTAAATCGCGCGACGCGCATATGCATTCAAAGATGATTCAATGAACAGATTATGGATGTTTTACGTGCAAAAAATAAAACCTACCACGAAAGTTTATCACGCCACTTTTCATGATGGTCTGCTATTATTAAATGTCTATTAAATATTTTAATTCGCTTGGGTAAAATAAACTTGCACCATTAGTGTTTCTTTTTCTTCTTCTTCTTCTTCTTCTTCTTCCTCTTTTTCATCTTAATACTATGCAACTATTCATAACGTTGTTGCTGACGTCGAAGGGAAGTTTCAATGGGATCGAGAATGTCTAGAATTCAATCGAGAACGGATCATAAGAGCAAAAGGAAAACATAATAAAAATTCTCTTATGATACTCTATGATTCTCAATATTGACTAGTAGACAACAATTGAAAAATACGCTATTTGTATTTAAATATTTTCTATGTTAAATACATACGCATTCAAAAGTCTACGAACAACACAACATGATAAAGCAGAGCATACCTACGTGTGATTAGTAAGCCAGATAAAAGTAGTTATGCACGATAAATGCAAACAAACAAGAAACTATTCTTATCTATGACAATGCCCATCAATATAATAGAGATGAGGATGTCAATTGGCCGTAAAAAATGCGGGTATGGGACACAGAGAGAACGAGTTTGTACATAATAATGTGGAGGCGAACATGTGTTACTAATCGATCTAGTTGTCAAATAGCGAGCCGATAGATCGGTTCCATTCAATACTTACTGAATACATTCATCTCCATACGATATCTATCTGACACGAACATACATTACTATTTTTCATAAAGTACAAAAGCTATTTTTATATTAGTTAATATGTTGAAAAATGGCAGAGTAAATGTCATACATTTTCAAGAAGTTAACTATATTAGTGAGTCGTTTTAGACTTAAATGACATCAAAAACACTGAATTATTATTATTTTAACAGAAACTGTTTATTTCAAAAAATAAATCTACTTGTAAAATGCAAATAACAAGGGAAAGCTACCTGAATAGTTCTGATAGATTGTAGGAAAATAAAAAGACATAAAACAACCGACAGATCATCATATCCATTCTTTTCATAACAAAATAACTCATTCAGATGACATGATGTATTACTTTTATCGGTAATACTACCGTTTGTTTTCTTTCTATTTCTAATATTTGACAATTATTTGATAGAATTTTACTTGTCGTCGGTAAGAACATTATACATCTGCAGTTATTGTTATCTTTTATAGGAACCATATTAACGGTTGTATATTTTAATAGTTATATATTACTTTTATCCTATATCATGTTTGTATTTGCTCATATTTCTATCAATGCATAATAAATATTATCATTATGTTGATTATGCAGAGTCTAATTTCGCTTAGCCGAAAATCTGAATAATGATTAAAAGGAGGAAAAAACCTAAGAAGTATATGAATGAATATAAATAAACATTTGTTCGGGTGTGTTTGATCTTACTTATACTTATTGATATCTATGTATTATTATCCTATCCACCTACCCAGTGCCATTGTTTGTTGTTTGTGTGAATGTGAATGTTCTTGAAATAATTGTTGTAAATCGTTTACAAATGTGCGACAAAGAATTATTTATGTATATATATATATATATATATATATATGTTAAAGCATAAGAGCGAAACTCAAGAGTCTCAGTCGGTTGTTGATAGTTAGTGGAAAATGCAATCACAAAGAGAGAACATCTAAAGACTTTTTCGCTACTTCGTCTGACTACATCTCTTTCTCTTTTCTTATTGTGTTTTATCTTCTCCATTGAATTTCTAACGTTGAGATCTTATAACTAGTAGGAAAGCTATACGTCTGTTGTCTTTTCTCTAGATCGATCGAAGAAAAAACAAATGCAAATAAATTAGTAATTGGATCCTGAGGTGTAGAAGTTCTTTCTTCCGAGATGATAAGTGTATGATACTGTTATTTTACTTGTCTGCTGTTAATGCCAAACGTCGATAGATAAGATATTCGGGTGTTTTTGCACTTAAGATCGTTAATAAGATAACTAATCGTTGTTTTCGCTCGTTTTCTCTATGCTTATTATATGTAAACAGCAACATAGTTTCTGCTTTTGCATTTGTACAGGTTTTCAAATAAAAGACAAGACAGCATTGTTCCATCTTTCCTGGAATTACTTGTTGAGAAGTTAGATTTTCTCAATTTTTTTCTGTTGATCTGCAGCTCATTTAAGTTTTTAGCGGCCTATAAATTTTGCATTCTCTACATACAATCTATCTATTTTGCTAAAACAAAGGAAATAAGAAATTGAAAAGATGCATCATTACCCATAACCTATTCTTGACTTTCAATAGCTGAGGGCTAAGTATAATGCAGGCAAGGGTCGTTTTGTTCGATTCTTTTTATTTTGGAGCACCAAGCCAATGCCATAACAAAAGCAACCCATGAATTTAAATATTAAAATTATATTTGTATGAAAATGTTAGTTTTCTCACTTCTTTCTTCTGTCATCTGTAGATTCATTTAAGTTCGTTTTTTCTTCTTCTCAATGATAATATCTATGACAAGCTGTCATAGGTCTACCTGATCGGAAATGGCTTTAGAAAGAAAATGTTGACATCAATAGGAAAAAGGCGTATATATATATGAAGAAATAGAATGAATGCATTTGAAAATGATCTAGAAAAATTATTATTATTATCTAAACGAAAGCGATGACCGTAGAGCTTATTGGATGTGAAAGTTCCATTTTTCTTCTCCATTTCTTTTTGCTGGTCATATTCTGAATGATGATATAGAACAAAATCGTCTGAGAACCAATAAAATCTATCGAATATATTAAAACGCAAAATGTATACTTGAGCTATTCGATAGTAAAATCTGTTCGCTTCAATAAGAGAGAAGGCAGCAAAATGCTTTTTTTGCCGATCTCAATATATGTTAACTAACGATCATCGAAAATAGTTTGATGTACAATAATTGAATTTGTTCTTAATTCAATCGAATCGTACATGCATATTAAATCACTTATTCATAGACGAGACTATCGTTATTATTTTATTATTAATCTTTTTCGTAAACAAGAGAAAAGCATATTCGCAAAAAAACAAAATAGAAGAAGTCGCATTTCTGTATTTGTATCAATCTTCATTCATAATAATAACTATCGTTATATCATTAGAAATAGGATTTCCCTAAAAAAAACTTCTACAATTAAATTATTACAGAAAAGGAAAATATTTTCTTTTTACATGATATTGATATTAGTCTTTCAAATCCATAGAAAACTATCAATAAATATTTTTCATATCGTTATTCAAATGCAACTTTTGTTTTGTATTCGGATTAGATAAACGTAATATTGATAGAGTTACGATGCAACTCTACCTTGTCATCTTTAAATAAAATTCAATCGCCATTAGAAAAGCTAATAGATTCAAAGTCTCTAACACGTTTAGGATGCTGGATAGAGTCGAACATAGTCGATGTGGTGGCAATCTCAAAATTTCTCTTCATGTGAATTCAAGAAATTTAATTATCTTTTGTTGTTCAAAGAATATAATTAAGTTCTTTTTTAGAAGTCAAAAAGAGAATCTTCCAAGCATGGCATCTTCACATGCTCTTTCGAGCAAAACGAACGCAATTGACTGACAACAAGATCCTTAGAGAATTCGAAAGGCACAATCGAACAAGCATTAACAGAGAAATTTTTTTAAATATTTCCTGCTTTTCCTATGCAAATAAAATCATTTTGAGTAGCTATTCATAAAAAAATTCATCATAAATTTCCGAGAAATGACTCAATGTAACAAAAACAATATGATTACAACGTATATGATAGATCATCACTAGGATGATTTTGATATGTATTGATTTTATTTGTGATAGTGCTGAGAAAAATTGACTGGTTTTAAATGCGCAGCGCGGTTCTAACAAGCGAATCTAATTAGATAAGTTTTGATTTATGTTAAAAAGGACAAAATCTAAGCTTGCTTTTATAACTTTGTTATCAGAACTACATACAGTCGATTATCGAAGACTAATTCGATAGAATATACATTTAGTATTCATCCTCTTGATGGCAACTGAAGACATTTGAAAATATCGAATTCAAATTAAAATTCTATATATATTTCGATTATTCAATTACAATATTTTACTAAGAGAGTAATGCATTGGTCGCTTGGATGCATGAAACTTGCGTTTGAATGAATAAAATAGACACTTCCTGCTGAAATGGTCTCGTTTAGTTTAGAGACGTCTGCTTCTGCATAGCATTAACATCGATGCAAGAATTAGGAATTTCAAAAT